GGCGGGGAGGGGGGGGGAGATGAGCAGGGGGATGCCAATTAACTGCAAATTAGATCTGGCTAATCAGCAGGGGCAAGTCAAGTCCATTCATGTCCCCCAGGGAACTGGGGCATCGATCGGCTGCAGCTGCGGGTGGGAACGTGTTAACCCTTTCCCAGCCCTGATCCCGTTTGCTCTGTGGGGGGATCTGGATCCGGTCTGGTCCCCCCCCTGCCCCCCATGCCCGGGGTCCTGCTCCCCAAGCCCTGCGGGAGATAGGCTCTCACCTCGGTGGCCTCCGTGCCACCCGCCGGGCCTGCGGTGCCACCTTCCCTGGGCCCGGAGAGCCACCGGTGTCCGTGTCCTTGCGGATGGCTGTGTCCCCGCCGGTGGCTGTGTCCCCTCTGGCACCCACAGCATCGTACAGCCTCCCGGGGCACGAGGGACGCGGGGCGGAGGGAGAGCGGCGTGGGCAGAGCCGCGGGCTGGGCTAGCAGGGCAGGAGGACGTCCCCGGGCCTCGCTGCTCCCACGGGAGCCAGGGATGGGGTCACCTGGGAAGGCTGTGCCAGCCCCGAGTGACTGTGACAGAGCTCATCCCCACCCCAGAGCAATAGGGATGGTGCTCCGGGTGCTTGGGGACAGCTTGGGTCCCCCATTATACCCAAAGGCCTGTGTTACCAAGCCGGGGTGCATCGCTCCTGTGCCCGGATCCCCAGCTCCCCTCCTTTGGGTGCTGGAGCCCCAACTTCTCCTGGGTTTGCTGCACACCCTGAGGTGGGCCAGGGCCGGGCAGAGGTGGGTGCGGGCAGGCAGGGCTGCCCAAGCCTGGTGAGGTGCTGGGGGCTGTCACAGGTTCCCCGGCCCCTGCCCTCTGCAAGCAGGCAGCCAGGGTCCACGGCCACCTCCGGGGACTCAGAGGAGTGGGTCTGCATGGGTGCACACGTGAGTGCGCACATGAGTGTGCATGTGTGTGCATCCGCGTGTGCCTGCCTGCGTACCCCTGCTGGGCTTTGCTCTGTGTGTGCCTGGGTGCCCACCGGCACAGCCCCAGCGTGCAGGGGGCACGCTGATGGCCCAAGCCAGAGGGAAAGCCTGCCCGTGCCTCAGTTTCCCCAGCAGCACAGATAGGGGTGAGAAGGCTGATGTCCCCTGCCCATCCCTGGGGCCACCTTGCCCCCTGAATCCTGCCCCCCCCTCCCAGTGCCCCCAGCCCACAAGGGGCGATGCCCCGCGCACAGCCGCGGGGCCGGCAGAAGCCGCCTGGCATGGGTCGCTATGGTGAGCCAGCCCTCCACCGCCTCAGCTGCAATTACCGGAGCCAGCACAGCTGCCGTCTCCATCTCGCCAGGGGCTGAGGGAGGGATGTCCTGTTTCCTGGTGGCCCCCAGCACCGGGGCCATGGTCCCCCATATTCCCCCAAGGCCCACAGCCCATGCCACCCTGCCCTGTGGCCAGCTGATGCCCCCACGGGGGACACAAGAGTCCCTGGGCTGTAGGGTGCAGCCTGCGCTGGCACCGTGCCGGCGGCTCACCAGGCACACACGCCCGGCAAGCTGTTGTTTTGCAGGCAGGTGGTTAAATGAGGCATCAGTGGATGCGGTGAGCCATTAACCGGCTGTGCCGCGGCGGGGGCCCCTCGTCCCCCAGCCGGC